TCGACGGCCATCGGGGTCTCGGTCCGCACCGCAACTTCGATGGCCCTTAGATGACATGTCGTAGTTAAACGCACGCATGAGCACATGCGCGGCCCTACCCACAGCGGAGGGCCCAAACCCGTGGGTTCTGGCTAGCCCACCGGTTCTGCGTCAGATGAAGCTTTAATAGTCTCGGGACTGAAAGTAAAAACATCAGTTAAAAAAAAAAAAAAAAGATGAAGTCAGTTTTATATAGGTAGTTATAATAATGCATATTCGGCCTTCTTCATAACAACGGCTTAGCCGACTAATCATGATCTTAATCATGGTTGGCCTTCAGACGCACGTAAAATTATGGCAATTAACGTAAACGTAAAACTATCTAATATTCTACTATAAGTGTTAGAAAAGCTGTGTAATTATTGAAACATTTCTTAAGGTTTAAACTATAATCATTATTTTATTATTCTGCATCATGTCTTTCAGTTTCAGCTGCAGTTAGCGCAACGCATCAGTTAAACGGCGAGATTGGCGATGCCGACAGATGTTTTGATGTATCGTGTCGTTCTTTAAGAATCATTAATTATTTCATACACTTAGCTTTTACTATATATGTATGTAGTAATGGGGAAAATAAGGTAGTAACAGGAATTATTCTAAATATTTCCTAAAACATTGAACTTTTCTTGTAGTCTACAATAATACCATCACCGCAAAAAATTAAATACATCCAACAGTTCAAAGCTATTAATAAATGAAAAATAAGAATAAAGTTAAAGAAATGTTTGCGTGTGTATTTGGCCACCCTTGGCAAAAAAATCTTGTTCATGATTTGATGTTTTTTATTAGTGTAAATAACTTACTAGCTGCTGCCAGCGACTACGTCTGCGTAGAATAGGCTGAAGGCGTAACATTCAGACAGAAAGACAGATATACATAAAATATGTATATAATTTATAGCCTATGTCTTATTCTGATATACAAGCTATATTATTGTAAAGTTTCATTAGAATCCATTCAGTAGTATTTGCGTGAAAGAGTAATAAACATGCATCCATACATACAAACTTTCGCCTCTGTAATATTAGTAAGAATTCCACATGAAATTGCTGAAAATAAGGCAAAGCGGCCGAATTGCTTATTCGGACATTATTTTTGCAACTTTGGAATGCCGGAATAACATTTTGAACACTGAACGTGATTACGTTGGTCTTGGCACAATTGAAATAAAAAAAAATGAGAGCTCTCACTAAATTAAGAGCTCACGCCGCAAGTATGCTATTATTTACTAAGTGTGTTTTAGTGTAGATCTACGTTTCGTTATTGATGATACCTATCTTTTTAACTAACACTACCATCTATTAACCCACGATCTGAATAAATGAATTAAAATTTGTAGAAAAAAATGTACGAAAAGTTTTCCGCCATCGGAATTTTCCCATTGCTATTTGAAATTTAAATTTCTTATACCAATGGCGACATCTCTCGTTCGAATTATCTATGTAAAAAGATATTTTAAATCCTGTGTGTGCTGTAAAGGACGTAAAAATAGATGCGCCAAGCATTGTTTAAATTGCGAAGAGATAATGTAGATAAAATACGTTCAGATTTTCGTCGGTTTAAAAATCGGTTTACAATCTGTTGATCTTAGTGGTTACAGCGTTTGGCCGCAAATCCAGAAGACGTGGGTTCGTTTCCCGCAGCGGCGAAAAACTTTTCATCCTTTTTAGATTAGCAGTTTAAAAAAATTCAATGTATGAGGAATAAATCGGATTAAATGAGTGAATTGAATGATTGAGTTTATTTACGGCTATCGGAAATTTGTTGAAAAACACCTTGGCGCCGGCGTATTCTTACAAGTTTTATTCAGATAATGGTGTTTGAGCCACTCAGTAGCAATAGCTAGAGTTGTTACGAATTCACCTGTCGTTCAGGCTTAGGCGTATAAAGAGAACCTTGGAAACCTAAGAATCTTCATAAAATTCATTGAAATCAAATAATTATCTACAGCCGAGAATTCTATGTAGATGTACATAGAATTCGAGTAGATAGTTTTCACATACCGTCTTTTACTCGTGAAGACACAACGTACCAACTACTAATTAGTTAATTCTACTATTATAAATTAAAAATTAATAACGATAACAAACTGTTACTTGTTTAATGCGACGCATAGTAAAGGCCCAGGACCACCCTGAAAAATAATTTTAGCCTTCAGGGGAGGAGAACCACGGTCGTACAGAAGACCGGCATGATGTGGAAGTATTATACTTTAGTGTTTCGTCTGCTTAGTGCGGTAACCGGGGCCCACTTTTTAATGGTCGGAGACTTACCTGGCGTCATAAATGGTCCCGGGTGACTGTATTTATTCAGCCTCAGGTGAACCGCCTCCTCGCTTATCGACTTTTCACATATAAAGAAACCGGCCAAGCGCGAGTCTAACTTGACCACGAAGGGTTCCGTACGATTATCTATAAAGGAGCCCCACTTAAATATTTTTTATCTTGTTTTTTAGAATTTTTTGTTAAAGCGGCAACAGAATAACATCATCTGCGATTATTTCAACTATCTAACTATTACGGTTCATGAGATATAGCCTGGTGACATACGGATAGACTGATAGACAGGCAAACAGCACTTCAAGTCCTGTGTAAGCTGACCAAATGCCTCTCCCCTTTTCCATGTTTTACTGTCATTGAAATTTCTATAACGTAGTTTTAATAAAAAATCATTATAGTGAAAAAGCCCTGACACTTTAACACTTGGAGGTTATTCATGACATCACTGCCCTCATATTGGACGACGAAACATAAATTTGATTTAAATGTGAATGTAATTTTCTACGTCTCATTGTCTACGTTTTAATTGCTTTATAAATTAATATGTACTTTTTAACTAACATTAAAATCTTGAAAAACTATCCATGAATATTGAACATTTACCGTAATTTTTTTATGTGCGAAGATGGCACTTACCATCTGGCGGTTCATCTGGACATTTGCATCACTTAGGCGTTACCTAAAACTACCTTTTAATGCAGCTGGCCTCGGCAACCTCACTCGACCGAACTGAACGGACCTGCCGATTCGTGCGAAGACAGCGAAGACTGTTGCGTTGCCCTACCAAAATTAAAATAATGTTAAATACCCTAAAAACATCGTTTAATCACCTACGATTTTTTGGGGAATGGGAAAATCCATCCGCGTAAGTACAACGACCTCGCAGAAGACCAGCGTGAAGTGGAAGTGTTATACTTCTGCGTTTCGTCTGGTTAGTGAGGTAGCAGGGGCCCACTTTATTGAAAGGAAGCAACGCAACATCTGCAACATTACGGCTGTTTCAAATTCCAAAGCACGGGGGTTATTACTTACATTATATTAGGTGAACCACCAACTTGCTTGCCACATTTTCACGTTAAAAAAAAATAAAAAGGATACATGGTGTTTATAAACTTAGGTCTAAAAAAAACAGTCTAAAGAATTACAATAAAAACGGCCGAAAAAATGCATAAACCCTGTAGTCACAAAATGGATTACAAGCAAAAAAAAAAATTCTTGTCAGAAGTGGGATTCGAACCCACGCCCTCAGAGAGGACCAGAACGCCCGAACCCACTGCAATGGGCAAGGATACCTTGAGTCTGGCGCCTTAGACCGCTCGGCCATCCTGACGTGTGACTATAGCTGCAAAATTTTTATTCCCTTGATAGCATTCAACCCATGTTTAATGGACGTACAAAATTTAGTTACCTATTTTGCATTTCAAGCAACACATAGTATTTAGCAATCTACTATTCTAATTTCGCTGTGCTAGCAAATTCACATACATTAAATTTTCCCTTTACTCTCCAGTTATGTCCGTAGATCTTAATCATTGGTATTACATATACAAATTGCAAATTCTTCTGCACCATGGAATTTTGTAATTCCATAATGAATATTAAACGTTATAATACAGGCATCGTTAGTTTTTGCTATAGTTCATTATAATTTGTGAAAAACATTGTTCCTTAAAGATAAATCCGAGGAAAAACGATCTTAACACTTTTTACAACTATAATACTTAGATTTAATTTGTCTTTCCAAGATTTATTTTTTTTGTTTCTTGCACACACTTGCTTAAAGTACTTTGAATAATTACAAATGAACCAAACAAAGCACGCCGAGAATCTTCCTTTAAAGAAACAAGTTATAATTTACATATTTTTTTAGTATCAAATGTTGGCGCTGGCAACACTGTATACCGGATATGACGTTTTCTACTTGAGCCAAGGGACACATGGTCGCATGGAGCAGTGGCACTGCTCCCTGCAGTGGTCACTTGGATTTCGGCTGCGGTCCCGGACAGTGTTATAACCGATAGTTCTGCTGGTTGTTATAATAATTGATAATATTCAAGTTCAGTAATAGTTAAAATATTAGGATCAAGTTAAAAACGTTAGAATTCTTATACAAAGTAGGCTTTTTTGAACGAGAATCCAGAAGTGGATCATTATTCAAAATCTTAGATACATCTTAATAAATAAAAATGAATGTTGGTAAGAGCTAATTTATTTTCGGAAGGTTTTAATACTATAAAAAAGAAAAAAAAATAACGAAGTCTGTCTGGGCGACTAGTCCGCACTAAGCCTTACTAATATTATAAAGGCGAAGTTTGTACGTATGGATGGATGTTTGTTACTCTTTCACGCAAATACTATTGAATGGTTTTTAATGAAAGTTAACAATAATATAGCTTATACATCATAATAAGACAAAGGCTATAATTTATATACATATTTTTTATGTGACTGATATACATATCTTTCTGTCTGCATGTTATGCCTTCAGCCCATTCTACGCAGATGTAGTCGCGGGCAGCAACTAGTATCTTATAACAATCAGCACGAACGCGACGTATCATCTATTTAATAGTCCAAAGAATATTTGTGTATGGTTGCTGAATTAAGTTAGCTTACTCGAGTTGGTTTCGCGGGTTTTCTGGTCAATTAAGAACGGGCAGTGGTGTTGTCCAAACGTGCACAATGTTGAGGAACTCTCTATACTTGTATGGAGCGGGAGAGAATCTCGTATCGTCGAAATTGAACCTTGGCGAGTATCTACTCGGAAAGTTGAGGAATCATACGGACAAAATTGCGCTGGTGAGTGTTATTATTATTTTTCTCTTTATTTATTAGCTTTTTAAATAACACGTTAGTCATATTGTAGTCCTAATGTATCTGTTACTTGTTAATATTTTATTTTATTATTGTAATGTGCAGATGTGTTTTGATTACAAATAAAGATTATTATTATATAAAGTTATACAGTTCATTATAAGACGTTAAAAAATTATACGTTATAAAAGTTAAACATATTAAACTTACAAAGGCGAGATGTTCTTTTAAAAATATAAATATAAACACTACACATTTATAGAAGTTGAAAGAACTGTTAATTACAAAATTGCTGGTTTATTATTACGAATAATTAACACTAAATGAGTTAACTAATAGGTTGGGGAAAAAGTTTCTTCGCATTTTATATGAAAATTCAAAACATTTTTTAATAAAATTTATTTACATTTAACTAAAGTATGTAGGTACCATTTTATTCGACAACTTTCTGCCATCTTGTATATAGGGACATAATCTCATTGCTATTCTGGGGCTTCTGATCAAAAAACCGCGACAAGTGGTTTTGGCAGTTCTCTTGTGATGTTAACCTGACACTGCCTAAAGAATTCTGAAGAGACCGAAATAAGTAGAAATCTGAAGGTGAAAGGTCAGAACTATACGGCGGATGCATTAACATCTCCCAGTCAAACTCTCTTAATTTTTGCTGAGTGGCTAAAGATGTGTGAGGTCTAACGTTATCATGATGAAAAACCACACCCCTTCTGTTGATTAATTTCGGCCGCTTTCTCTCAACTTCTTGCTTTAATCGCATCAGTTGTTCGCAGTAGAGTTCAGAATCAATGGTGAGTGTTAGTGTATACCAGGCGGTAACAGCGCTTAATGAATAATGCCCTTCCAATCCCACCATACACAGCATTACCTTGTTGCGAGATAACCCGGGTTTTAACATAGTCTGTGAAGCCTGACCAGCCTTTGACCACGACCTTTTTCGCACGTTCTTGTCGTACGTGATCCAATTTTCATCACCAGTTATCAGGTTTTTCAAAAATGGTTTGATTTCATTACGTTGTAATAGAGAATCACAAATGAGTACACGTTTCATTAGGTTTCTTTCAGTGAGCTCATGAGTCCCTCAAATATCGAGCTTTTTTGTGTACCCAACTTTTTTCAAATGCGCCAAAACTGTTTTGTGGTTAATTCCCAGTTCTTTAGCTACATCGAAACTACTGATATACCGACCTTACTCCACTTTTTCAGATATGGCATCCATTTTATCCGTAACAGGGCGCCCAGATCGAGGTGCATCTTTGACATCAAAATTTCCGGAATGAAAACGCTTAAACCAAATTTGTGCTATTCTCACAGACAATGCACTAGGTCCATAAATATCACAAATTTTTTTCACGGCTTGCGTTGCATTTTTACCTTTTTAGTAGTCAAATTTTAAAATGGATCGAATTTCTTCATTAGAATCACTCATCTTAACACTAAGAAAAACAAATGAAAATCACACATTTTCCTAATTTGAATTTTGGTATTATCTTTTTTAAAATTTAAACTTTTTAATAATACCAAAACCAGCCAGATACAAATGGTATAGCCAAAGAGATTATATTATAAGTACATACATACTATTTGCTTAAAGACTTTTTCCCCAACCTAATATAAAAAGTGTTACATGTCTTCTTGGGAAATCAATGCCCTAAAATTTCTCCATCGCTTTTAACTTAAATCTTAACTTTGTTTATTGATTTTTTACGCGTATATAATACATTGTAAATGAAACTATTTTACGGATTTTATCGCGTTTATTTAGATTTTTTAATTCCCGACGTAATCATCAACTTGGAACCCCATAATATAAAGGGGGGCTTTTCTAAGTGTATCGATTTTTCTATTAAATTCTAGACATAAATCACGTTATATAAAAATGGTAAATATTTAATATAAATTTTATTTAAATACATTCATTTGAAATTATCTCAAAAATTGCGTGATGTATGGGCAACTCATCTATTTTACGCGCGATCATTCATAACTAACACACACACAAGTTCGTTTCAAAAGTATACGACGCATTTATGAATGACTGTTTTTTAGGGAATGGAATGGAAATTTGTTTTGATAAAAAAAAAGTTTGTTTTTATTTCAATAAAGGATTATAATACCGGGTCTGAACGTTCTGTGTGAATTTGGGCACCTTTAGAAAAGCCACCCTGTATAAAATTAAATCCAAGCCAAACAATTCTAATATATAAAATTCTCGTGTCACGGTGTTTGTAATTGAACTCCTCCGAAACGGCTCGATCAATTTTCGTGAATTTCAGGGTGGAGAATCGGACAACATCTATTTTTCATCCCCTAAATGTTTAAGGGGTTCGAATCCCACATCTGACAAATTTTAGTTTATTTTTCTGGTTGTAATCTATTCTGTGACTACTGATGTGTTTATGCAGTCTAGAAATAAACTGGTATAAATTCTGTAATTATATTTGTTTATTTTTAGTTTGCTCTGCTGTGCTCTTCACAGTTGTCCTTAGAAGGTAGCTTAAAACACAAAAATATAAATCAAATCGATCTAACCTTACTTTATTTATTTATAATAGAGATTAAAGCGTTGTATTGATTTTTTTATGTGAAAAGCTGTCAAACGAGCAGACGGTTCACCTGATCTTAAGTAAATACCGCCGCCCATGGACACCTGCTACACCCGAGGGTTACAGATGCGTTGACAACCTTTTGAAAATTGGGCTTCGGCTACCTCACTCACCAGACGAAACGCAAAAGTATTTGTCATACTTCTACTTTACGCTGGTCTTCTGTGAGGTCGTGGTACTTACCCAGACGGGCCTGCCCATTATTACTATAATCTTGATTCCTTACTTAGTTACTTACTCTTCGTGTTGGGATTTCCAGTTACTGACTCTTCGTCGTTTCTAGGGAGTTCTAGATATTTCCATTTATTTTTTAAACTGCGAATTTCCAGATAAATGGCGCGAATGACGAGAGGCATACGTACCAGCAAATACTGCAGGCGTCGATAAACGTAGCCGTTTCCTTGGTGCGGCTCGGTGTGAGGAAGGGGGACGTTGTGGGCATATGTTCAGAGATGAGGCCAGAGAACTGGTCAGCAGCCATTGGGGTAACCTGCACTGGCGCGGCTATGACTCCGATCAGTGTCGAATACGTAAAAGGTGATTTATTTTCCTTTCAGTCCGTAGACTGTTAAAGATTCATCGAGAGCTGAACTCGTGGCTAGCCAAAACCGTTGAACTCGATGCGGGCGAATAGGCGGTGGTTATCACTTAACATCAGTTGAGCCGCCAGCTCGCTTGCCACCATCTCAAATAAAAAACAATCTGTTTTTCTCGAAAAGTTAATATAATTTTTTTTGGATGTGCCGGCATTCATATTTGTTGTTTGTTCGGATCACGCTCGCCATCCAGTATACCTAATCGGTTAGCTTTTATGGTTTTTGTCAGACAACATTCGATGACGTCAGATAAAGCAAAAAAGCCAAGCATTCAAGATCGTTGCATGTTGCTTTAGACAGCTCGTCTTTTCCAAAACTAGGGGTTGCAATTTTTTAAATGACAATTTGTTCAAATATACATTTGTGATTAGTCATCTATATTAAATGAAGCTAATTCAAGTAATGTAAAGAGAATAAAAAGTATAAGAAATCGTATGTTAGAATAATGTGACCGTATGGTATATGGTTGACAATGAACGTGCAGTTTATGTAATGAGCGCCCTTTCCTTTTGACCAGTATCCTTTTTACAGTCCGGGATCGATGGATACAAGGTTCTTGAAATTATTTATTCCATTATCCATTTTTACCCGGTATACATTTTTTAGCATCTCGCTGCAGGAGTACACAAATTATTCAACATTCGTATGGTGTACGCACGTTGAAATTAAATACTAATTAATTATAGTTTATATGCGAGCTTACTTTCGCGAATAGCATCTTTTACAGTGAACTGCAGAGCGGTAAGCGCAAACAAGGCGGACAGTTTCTGGGGTACAAATATATGCTGAAGCGCCACATGAAAAGAACCAAAATTGAACCATCCAAGTGGGAGACTTTTCCCGAGCAGAAGACCGGTCACAATGGAGGCACACGGTGCACAGTAAAGTGTGTGACTTTGAAACTAGTCGCCCTAACGAACTGGACTCTAAGCGTAGGGCTGCCAACTTTTGTTGAGAAAAATAAAGTGTCACACATATAAAGGAGAGAAAAAAGTATAAAGAAGGAAAATAGAGTATTTATCAAAAAAATTATTTATTTCTCCTCTTGAAGATATATTTTTGTATGCTTCTAGCACACAGTTTTGCTTGGTACTCAAATTTGAATTGAATTGGAAGCTATCGTTACATTCTCAATTTAAACAAAAAAGTAGCTTTTTATTAAAATATAAATCTGGGAAAATACGTAGTAGCAGACTCAATGACAATTTATCAAATGATAAATATCATATAAGAAAAAAGTGATAAAAATTTCTTGGGGTGAAAATAAAAATCATATAATATAATTAACAGCTAAAGTTCTCTTTAAACTCAGAAGTATCAAAAAAATCAGTAATTATACATTGTGTTTTTTATGCTTCACAGTAAATATTGAAACTTAACTATTTTCACACACTTTATATTTATGCAAAATTATAAACTATATTTAACAAAAAAAAAATAAAGTAGATAGAAACGTTATTATAAAGTATGGTTGGCATCCCTATCTAAGCTCGACGAGTATTTATTATAATTACATCGGAAGAGTGCTGACTTGTGGGGAGTGTGGCCGCACATTCGCTGCAAAAACTTGCTACGTAAGTCACCTGAGAGCGCATTAGCGAGGGTAGTATAGGTGAAGCCACTCTCCCTGTCTTCTGCTAACGAGGAGGAGTCGCAGGGAAAGAGGAGAGCCGGTATTGCGTTGGCCGCGCTCCCTATCCTCTGCGACTCGGTGGGGCTGCACCGTTGATGCAGTGGTGGTGGGGCCGCGGGGGGAAAGGAGAGTCGATTTTGCGGTGCGCAGTTCTCCCTACCCTCCGCGGCCGAAACGTGATGCGCGACGGAGCCACAGACCAGGTCCGCCACGGGGGGCTGGGAAGCTCTCCTGGCTCCCATTGCCTCTGGTCAGCGAATTTGGGCGAAGTTCATTGGCCGTGAAAAAGGGGCCGAGTAGGAAGGTCGCTGAATGTTCCAACGCGCCTTACCTGGAGGAGAGGGGAGCTGTTCCCCGGGAGGCGTTGGCAGGGTCGCGAAAGTGTGCGAAAGCGTTCGTGGGGATTTAGTCGGTGCGAGTCCGACGAGGCGCGTTAAGCGTAGGCATTTCCTCCCCCCAAACAAAAGAAAAAAAAGGGGCCGTCTGGTTGCGGCGGGCATGACGTCGACGATCATTTAAGTTATTCACAAATTACATGTTATATATACTTAAGTTTTTTGTACAATAGTCAAAACCAAATAACCGCTAAGAAACTTGTTTAAATAAATAAACATACCTACAAAAATGACCGTTGTTTCTCAGTGCATACTCACAACCATAAAGTAATTCTAGCCTTATCTAGATTAGAATAAGTAAATCTTTTATGAGATACTGCAAACTGTGTTACAAACTTGTAAAGGAACCTTTGTGTTGTTGAACCTTGTTAGAAGCTTATAATAGCATTAGAGATTATTTAAATGATGACACACTCTGAAAATGAATTGATCGCTCCAGGCTCTTTCAAGTTGAATATTGTGTACATGTTTGTTATATTCAAGTCAAATGATGTTTTAAAAACATTGTTCATCTCAGTTTCTTTCGCCGCTCTTCTTAGATCAGTGCCTTTTCTCCGAACCGGTAGTAGTGTTTTTTGACAATCAATGAGTGTAATACTTCTATTACATAGTTTGACACTGAATGTTCTTTTAGTGTTTGGGAACGTGAGAAAGACATACTTAGTACAATATCAGAGTTATGCAAGCCTTTTTCTCGTAGAGTTCGTGAGAGAAAACGACGTGGCTTTTTTTACATTGTAGCCATAATATATACATTGTTTCTTCCATAGAAAAGCAACTTTTTTCTGTCAGACTCGACCTTTATAAGGAAAAAAAGAGTGTGAATCTAAAGTTCATTGTTGATGTTAATTATGATAAAATGTACCATATTTCTCTTAATTCTTTTGTTCTTTTGTTCTCATAATAATATAATTATCATTTATTATTCTACTTATAATGATGTTATTTGAGAACGATCCTCCATAATTATGGCGGTTGTTTTAAAATGTTGAAACTATGCAGGTAATGAATAAGGAGAACAGTCTCCGACTCGCTACAATAGCGTAATAGTTGTTATAGTTATTGTATAAAATTCAAATCAACAAAGTAAATAATTATACTCTCTTGCTACTCTAGCGGTGTTCCAGAGTGTTTTGAAACTGTTATAGTTAATATATTCTGTTATAGTTACAATTGTTAACTGTTTACAGGTGGTCACTTTTATATATTAGCTATTCCCCATACTAGACAGTACTCTTTACCTTTACCCTTCCTAGTTGAATCCTTAGAGATTCATTATCCTCCATATTTAATTAATATTATAACAATTATATTCAACGTGTTATTTACTTTGTTTTGTTATTATTATTATTTATTGTTCACACAGATCAATGGTTTATATGAGCATTTAAAAAAAACTTTGCATTGCACGCCTAGATTTTAGAACTGAATTTCCATGAAACTTTACTCGTTTCTTTAAACAATAAGATAATACTAATATACTTTTTAAATACTTATAATTATTCATTAAATCATTCAGGGAATAATTTCAATAAAGTTAAAATTATGAAAGGAAAAAATTATATCCAAAAATATATTTATTATGACACTGAATCGATAGATAGGTTTTAGCATTTGGCTAATTTTGGGGTGATTGAGAAAATAACAGTGAGACACAGACCGCTTTCATCCCCTAAAATACAGATTTCCGAGTTCAGTGGGATAGATATATCTGCAGCAAAACTTATCTTTATAGCCTACCTATGGGATATAATGATCCATACCAACGCAAACTAATGCAAAATTTTTTCGTATTTCTTTTTCAGATGAACTGAAGCATATCTTGAGCATATCGAAGCCAAAATATCTATTCTGCTCACCCCAGGCCTATAGGATGAAAGAGGAGAGTTTGAGGTCGTTGGATTTTGTAAAAAAGATAATATTATTTGGCGACCAGCGAGTAGACGATACGATGCTGTTCAAAGATCTTGCTGTGGCAGGGCCTGAGTCGGTGCTCAAAGAAAACATTCGGTACGAGGACTTTGAGGCAGTCGAAGTGGATGGGAAGACGGACACCGCTTTCATTTTGTATTCTTCAGGTACCACTGGACTGCCAAAGGGTGTTATGCAAAGCCATTTGAACGTTATGACCGCTTTATCTTTGTAAGTTCAATATTTTTAATATAAAAGTTGGCTAGCTGGTGGTGACACTAAATACCGCTGATTATGATCTACGAACAAATAATACTTGAGAGATTGTAGATGCGTTGCTAACCCTTAAAAATTGGGGTCTAGTTAATTCACCCACCATACGAAACGCAATAATATAATACTGGAGGTATTCCAACGGTACCCATTTTATTTGAAATACTTACCCGCACGACCATGACCGCTCTTGCAAAACTAGAAACTTCAGTAGCAGACGTCTCTAGTTTTATACGTGAATCAACAGTGATTGAAGAGGTGAAGAGAAGCAGTTAAGTAGCTCAGTGAATTGATCAGGTATTGGCTTCGATGCCGCGTGTCGTGGTTTCGATTCCCACACGGGACATTTGGTGACCCTGTCATGTGAGAGGTGACAGGGTATCTTTTGAAGATTCCCCCTCGAAAACAAAAAAGAAAGACATAATTGTGTGGCCCACACGTCGTGTGCAGTGTGGCAACGTAATACTGCCGTCTTTATAGGATTATGCGATTGAGGGAGGGGTCTAGAACTCTCGAAACGTATACCCCGTGACATTCACCAGAGGTGGTGGCGACTGTCTATGAACTTTTATTTCATGCGAGTCCATCATAGATTGCCTTAATTATTGAGAAGCATTACCACAGGTTCTGCATTCATCGACGCTGTGAATCTTCGATGACTGCGTCACACAGTCTACAACAAGACACAGACAGTTTTATTGTTAATATTTGGTATTATTGGTTTATGATTAAGTTAATAGAAGACAACTGTTTATTTACAGGCCTGGCGTAGTCGATCCGAAATTAACAGTACTATACATTTCACCGTGGTACCACGTATACGGGCTGATGACTGCACTTATATTCATGTTTAACGGCAGCCAAGTGGTCTATTTGCCGAAGTTCGAGATAGATTTGTATTTACGGTGCATTGAAAAATATAGGGTTAGTTGTTTTGTAGTAGTTGTTATTTTAAATACTTGCTTCTTTTCGAAATAGGTAATGTTTTTCGAGCGTATTTGGTTCGTACTCCTAAAGTTTTAGTATATTTTCTTGTATAACCTGTCACTAGTTGCCTGTCAGTTTTGCGAGTGACGTAAGCAGCTGCAGTGTTTTATTACAGGCTAATTATTAATGGGCTATAGATAAACCCTAGGACCATACAGTAGTGTGTAACACTTCCACTTCGCGCCGATCTTCTGTGAGGTCAGGCCACTTCCCTGGACGGACTTACTTTTATAAAAAATAAACACTTCTTAAACCTGAATTTATTTTAACTATTTCATATATTAAAGTGCGAAATCCTAAATTGCTTTCATTGCATTTCTATATTTATTTTGCATGAGATATAATATTTCTTGAATTGTGTTATAGGATGTTCACTTTTGCACGAATATGTGCACATAAAAATAAAAAAATTAATATTTTAGGACACATTTTATTACACAACGTTCACTAGTCCCTAACTAAGGAACATTTAAACATACTTTTCTTTTGTAAGTAAATACGTATTATCCATATACAGGAAGGCTTTTCTAATTGTATCCATTTTTTTAGTTAAATTCTAGACAAATAATGTTATATAAAAATGATAAATATTTAAAATCACTCGTAATTAAATACATTCATTTTAACTTATCTTAAAAATTGCGTGATTTATAGGCAACTCATTTATTTTACGCGCGATCATTCAGGAATAACACTACAAAAGTATACGACGCGTTTATGAATAACTACCGCATTGTCAACAAGTTCTGTTTTTAGGGAATAGAACGGCAATTTTTTTGAAAAAAAGTTTGTTTTTATTTCAATATAACGGTTATACTACCGAGTCTGAACCTTCTGTGTGAATTTAGGCACCGTTAGAAAAGCCACCCTGTATATACACCCCAGACACAGGAAAAATACTATGTTCATCACACAATATTTTTCCAGTAGTGGGAATCGAACCCACATCCTCTGGCACAAGAGACAGGTTGACTACCCACTACGCCAATCGGATCGTTGATATATACCAATATAACAAAATAAAAATATACTAATATGGAAAAACAGTTCTAATAAAATTTTAATTTCAGGTCAATCAGCTGTTGTTGGTACCGCCTGTGATAGTTGCTTTATCAAAAAAGCAGTTCAGTTATGACGTCAGCTCTGTCCAGGTCATATTGAGCGCCGCTGCCGTTCTCCAGAAGGAGACCATAGATGCAGTAAAAGAAAAGTAAGACGAGTACTAGGTACTTCGTTGGATTACATCTTTCATACAAAAACTGCGATGGTGTAGTGTAGTGACTGACAATCGCTTATAACTTGTTTTGGTGCGAATGCCGAAGACGACGATTCCAACAGTGGCGACAATCTTTTCGCACTTTAACTACAAGTTTCAATTTTTAAACTTAAGTGCAGAGATTAGCACCATAAAAAAACTTTAAATTTCTAAAAAGCAATGGCGACATCTCTCGTACGAATTATCGTTGTAAAACGATATCCGAAATGTTTTGTATGCTGGAAAGGATATAACAATAGATGCGCCAAGCATTGCTTCAAATGCTAAAAAACAATGTACCTAGATAAAAGACGTTAAGATTTTCGTCGGTGTGGCAATTAGCCGTTTAGCTTAGTGGCTAGAGCGTCAGGCCGCGAATGCCCAGGACGTGGGTTCGATTCCCACAGCGGTGACAATCTTTTCGCACTTTTCTTACAAGTTTTAATATTTGACATTATATTAGGATTTTCAGATCAATTACAGGTGGTGGCTTATGCTATGCCCCTTATAACGTAAGAACAGATAAGGTCTTTGCACAGCAGTGGGACATGTATAGGCTGAAAATTAATTTTACTTTGTACTTCTTTGTGGCCTTTTGTAATTTCTAAATATCTCATGAGCGGTTTCAACCTCGAATTAATACATATACACATGAGAATCTCACTTATATACTATAATAATATAATTATATCCATTTCAAACGACACGATTTTAGTTTTAGTAATCTTTTAAAACTGCCAGGTTCGTCAATCTGAGGGACGTTTACCAAGGTTATGGGATGACGGAAACCACGTACTTTATAGCTCTGGATTCTTTCGTTGACGGTAAAAGGTGCAGACCTGGCAGTATTGGTGCAGTCGTTCCTGAAACTATTGTGAAGGTGGGTGATATTATAAGTCTTAAAAATATACATAATAAACTGTCACAAAATTTTTCGCCGCTGTCAAGATTCGTACCCGAGCCTTACCTAATTCGTACCTAATCTTGACGTCTCATCTACTTTGTTACATATTTGGTAAATCTTGGCTATCTAACATAATTCCTCCACAGCAAGCACACTGTCCAAATGACATTTGGCAGTTCAAAGAACAACTGAATTATTCCTTCTTCTTAGTCATTTCTTCACGCCTGAGGATCGTGACTCTATTCAATTGAACAACGAGCAACGCGCTGGTGGAGTTCGGCTCTTATCTACGTATTTATAACAAAAATTTGAAAAAAAAATCAAATCTCAATCATAGATACATCGCACCCTGCGTAGAACAACGTGACATCTGTAAAATTGTAATTGTTCAGATTATTATTTTTTTATTTTGGTTATGGTTATAGGTCTCCTTATACATAGCAGTTGCTATTACAATTTTTGAGGTTTGTGATATAATTAGGTATATTAACAAACACTATACTTTTTGAGTTATTAACTCAAAAAGTATACTGTTTTATAAATTTAGGAAATAAGAGGTTTCATGTGTAATAATGACGTTTTCCTCCGGAAAATGGAAATGACTTATGGGTCACATGTTCATATATAATGTTGTTCTACTAAAAACTCTGAAAATATGTATGATATAAACGCATGTAGAACTTTTTTCAACGAAAAAACCATAAAAAGTGGGTGACTGTGCAATAATTATCAATTGACTCTAATAGAGTATTTTACACTCGTCTGTTACATTAGTAAGCTTAGTCTAGTCAGTACAAAAAACAGTGTCTAAATGTACATATGTCCTTGTACTGCTGAGCACCAATCAGATAGAACGTTGTTCTAATCTGAATCTCAATATCTATAAGTCAGACGAAAAAAAATTAATGTCATCTGAAAGCGTAGACAATAATGAAGACTTTCCGACGATAAAATCAAATTCGCTCTATGTGACCACAGAACGTTATTCTACGCACGGTGCGACATATACTAGCTGATCTGGCAAATCTTGTTTTTCCATGTCCATAAATTATTTGTAGGATAGAAAAAAATAAAAAAATTGTTATAAATCTATTCTCATACCGTCATATAAAATTTCATCAAAATCGGTCAAAAATCGTTTCGGAGGAATATAAATACTTAAAACTGTGACACAAGATTTTTATATAATACATTACGGGCGGTGATCCTAGAAACTCTCAGATATGGATACTTCAGGATTAGAATTTATGAAAACAATGATCATGTTATTTTAAGGGAACTAAATAAAAGATGAAACTTTAAACGGGAAAACGTTTCGTGTAACGGGAAAGAGTTTCTGGTAACGCACCGATAAAATATGTCACCGATTACTAATTGGACAGCAGTAAATGAATAATGATATAGAACGGTATATTTGCAGATTGTTGATGTTAACACTAAAGAGCCTGTAGGGCCCTATCAGAATGGAGAGTTATGTTTTAAAAGTCCCATGATCATGAATGGTTACATAGGCAAAAATTTGCAAGACGTTTTGGATGAAGAGGGTTTCTTGAGATCTGGCGACATTTGTTATTATGATGAAGAAAGATATCTCTATGTTGTTGATCGGTTAAAAGAGCTGATAAAATACAAGGGTTTTCAGGTGAGGTTCAATTTTAAATCTTTTTTCCGTATGTTTGATGCAGAAAGACTTCCGGGCGCAGTTGCGCGTTGGCAACTGCGCCTGCGGGAAGTCTTTCTGGCATCGTCACCGTGATGTCGTGGGTTCGTTTCTTACACGAGAAAATTATTTATGTGACCCACAGATAATCGTTTCGTATCTGGTTGTCTGCCCACGCGAAATTTATGTTTGTAATACGTTCTTACAACACAGAACAATGATATCCTACAGCATTGTTCGAAACAAATAAAAGGAAAAGAAAACTTAAAAGCAGTCAAGCTTTTATCGTTTTCTTTTTATTGAGCTCCCCTTGCCCTCAATGAATGATACAATTGAATTAAAAATAATAAAACCGTAGGTCCCGCCAGCGGAGATAGAAACAGTTCTGCTGCAGCACCCTGCAGTGCGAGAAGTATGCGTAGTAGGGCTGCCCCATAAAGAGGCTGGTGAAGTGCCTCTCGCCTTTGTAGTGTTGCAGCCCGGTAACAACACTAATGAATCTGAGCTACAGGCATTCGTTGCTGAGAGGGTATGTTATTTTATATTGGTATGCTATAAGTTATTTAATATGTTATTTTTTATGTTTGAAGGTGACAATCGAGCTGGCGGTTCACCCGACACTTTCAACACCCGTAGGGTTGCAAATGCGTTGAGCACTTTTAATAAAGTGGGAGCTCGCTCAACAAACGAAACGCAGAAGTATAATTATGACGTATTGTCGACCCGATTGGCGTAGTGGGTAGTGCCTCTGCCTCTTGCGCTAGAAGGCACAGACAGACAAACATCGGAACAACTTTGTTTTAACTATGCAGTGATTAGTTAACTTTCCCCTTTCTTAAGCTTAAGCTTTCCCTTCCTTATTATGTTTTGGGATGATGTTTCGCTTTCAGTCTCAGGGACTATGAGAAGCTTTATCGGTCACAATTCTCAAAATGCACTAAATTTTCCGCGGCCTAAAATCTAGTAGTAAGTTGAGCATGTGTATATTTGTGCGTATCATAGTTATCGTGTGCATTTTTTAAAGTCTAGTTTCAAGGATGGTTGACGTTAGGCGGTCGTAAAATCCTAGCTAACCCTTAACAACACGATTAAGACATACTGTGCCGATGCCACTTAGGTGGGATAAAGACAGAAGAAACAAGATGTTTTTTATCTCTTAGTTTATGGATACTGTCGGCTTTCAAATAGCTGTATCCCGATAAAGTTTACATAGTCTTTTGTAGGAAGATATCATTCATCGTATAATAATTAATGTTAACTAACTGTGCGAGAATCTTACCGAAAGAAAGGTAGACCGTGCGAAATTCAATTGGTTAAAGTTCACACAGTTTCATGGTACCGTAATTAGACAAAGAATTATAGTATAATAATGTGTAATAAGTGTTTAATTGTCAATTAAAAATATCTTATTTGAAGGGATAACGTTTTCAATCTTTTTAAAACAAATTTTAGTTTCTTATTAATCAATGTTTTGTTTGTTTAAACTTGAGAAAAATATTCATTTGAATATTTTTTTTTACAATTGACAAACGATTAACAATCCAACGATTAATTATCCAATATTTATAACATTAAATCTATCTAAAAATGAACAATTGTCAATAGATGGCATTATCATACCATTCTTTGTAAGAAAATTTTAAAAGATATTTCTTTTTTAATGAAAATATTAACTTTAGTCTACTTATCTTTATTTCATTAATAGCGGTAAACATAAGTTTTCATATGATGTTTGATTTATTAGATTTTATGAAGAATTAACTAGATGATGGCGTTCCGCCAAAAAAACATCTTCGAGAAATAAAATATGGAAGTTGAGAGAGATTACTCTAGTTTTTATAATTAAAGTAATGGCTGTTTCCAAAATCAGTGCTATCCTTTAAAGTGATAGATTTATCAAGTAAAATTTAAGTATCAATATATAGCTCTTTATGTATTTGTATATGCTAACATTTTTCCCGCCCTTTCTTTCAGCTGTCTAACCCAAAACGCTTAAGAGGCGGAGTTCGGTTCATCAGCGAAATACCCAAAGCCATAAACGGAAAAATCCTGCGAAGACAATTACGGGAAGAACTAAATGCAAGTTAGGTTATCCGAAGCGACACCTAGCCATTTTTCGTTGGACGAATAATTAGAGTTTTTAACCGACCCAAAAGGAGGAGATTCTCAATTCGACTGTATTTTCGTTTTTTTATGTTCCTTACCTCTGAACTTTTGACGGAGTGGACCTATTTTGATTCTTTTTTTATTTGAAGGCTGGTGCTTACTCTGTGGTCCCATATTTATTTCATTGGTATTGGATCTTTTTTTTATTTTTTTTTATTTAATCTTTATTGCCAACCTTCAGTAAAACAAGGTAACAAAGGGCGGACTTAATGCCCAAAGGCATTCTCTACCAGTCAACCCAGGATCTTGGTCATCTTGGGCTCCGGAAATACATAGGGAACTCCTAAAAATCAATTATAAAATGAATGCGGAGCGAGATATATTTTGAAGTTGGTTTTGTTTTTCGTTAATAAAAATAGACTTGTTAAACATTTGAACGCAAATTTTTAAACACTCAATTTGTTTATTTTCCACATTTTATGAAATAAAAACAATATAATTAATTGATTAACAAATTAAAATTGAAAAAAAAGTACCGCTCAATGATTTTTGAACTTGGGACCACAGTAATTGTTCACCTGCTATGACGCTCGGACCAATAAATAGGCTACACGATGACTGCGAAAGGTAACAAAATTTAGAGTCTACTTATATTTGTTGTCGTTTATCGATATAAGGAATTTTATCGATAATTTTTTAAATACAATTTCTTTGAGGAATTAATGTAACGTAGTAAGTCTTTCACATTTAAAGGATAAATTAAAGATATAAAGTTTAAGAAAATATGTAATAAAAAGACATTTTCGTAATTTCTGCCGTGGAGACTATGAAATTGCTGAAAATTTTTATTACTTTAAATCAAAATAAATAATTATTTGTTTATTTATTGTTTTGTTGTAAGAAATGATTATTGTTCTTTTTTTGCCTTTATTAGTTTATTTGACCTTAAGATGTATTATTAATCAATTCTAATCCGTTTCCTGATAATTTAAAATAATTAATAGGAAGATTTTCTAAAATTGTTGATTGCTTTCCCATACATTTATATTTGTTTGTTTATAATTATTCCTACAATAATATAAAAGTAAAATACAATCAAAATAAAAGATATTATAGCGATCATCTGTGTACATTTTCGAAAGCCTTCCATGATACAATCGATAGTATCCTACGGCTCACCACTACACACACACTAGGTAATGAATGACTTGGTCGTGCGGCGCGTTGACGAAACTCACGCGCTGCGCCCCGCTAAGCGGGGTTACCCCTTCTCCGATTCCTCATACTTCTCCACCCAAATAGTTAAAAATTCACTGCGTAAGGCGCTTTAAAGTTGTTAATTACTAGGGAGAGCAGGCAAGCCGGGAAAAAATCAATAATCTCAAAAATCCTACTCTCCCCTACTACTGCTTCAGGGCAAACTGTGCCCGCTTATGAATGAACTAAACCATGAAAACTAAAAATATCTAAACAATAAAAATGAACTACACTAATAAAACCCTCTCTTTCCTTATTTTCAACTTAACTTTAAAAAAAAGGAGGAGTTTTTTTTTACTTCAGATCTCCGTCATTTATGAACCGATTTTAAAAAAAAAATCTGCATTTCGTTCATTTTACCTCACTTGCCACAAATTAATTTCTATAAAATATTGAAATGTTGTACTTGTTCAAATGTATTTCTATTTTATACCACTCGTAATCTTTTTGTTGTTCTCTGCTTTAATTATTAAGTTTATGCAGTGTAAAGAATATTTTCCATATTACACGAGGCAACTTTAGTTGCTTCTTCTGACTACTGCTGGCAATCAAGCAGGCTGCGTAGATAGAAAATTACATCACTGTGGGTGTCATTGCTTGTTCGCGTCGTTTAACAAGTTCGCCTCCCTTTTGGTAGGTAATTTACATGTCCATAATTTGGTTTATGCCCCGGATGGTAAGACACAATTGCGTAATCAAACTGGATAAAATTGTAATTATGAGGCAACTACCCAGAGGACGGTAGTTCTTATATTTTTTGTTGAACATGGTTAGCTTGCGGTTCACCTGATGTAAACCTTTTTGACATTTACATTTACAACAGCCGTAGGGTTACAAAAGCATTGCCACCTTACAATAAAGTGGGCTCCGGTTATCTCACTTACCAGACGAAACGCAAATGTATAACACTTCTACTTCACTCCGGATGCCCATTCGTGCCAAAACGAAGACTGCTGCGTAGCCTTACCATAGTAATGGAATCAATATCGCAATAGTTAAACAAAAAATTTAAAAATTAACCCTAAGCGGCTCTTAACAACAACGAGAATCTCAACATATTAAAATACACTGTTTTATACATTAAATGTTATTTATGTTATGTTATTGTTTTATACATTATACATGTTTTATACATTGTTTTTTTTAAGCAACGCTGGCTCATCTATTGTTTGCATCCTTTAAAGAATATGAATAATTTCAAATGTTATTTTACAACGAGAATTCGAATGACAGATTTCGCCATTTCTATCTTATATATAAAAATGGATTGCTGTTCGTTAGTCTCGCTAAAATTCGAGAACGGCTGGACCGATTTGGCTAATTTTGGTTTGGAAATATTTGTGGCAGTCCAGGGAAGGTAAGTGAAATCGAAATACTAATTTTATTTTCCCAAACAAACTGTACCTCAACCTGTCAACTCTGTCTGTGTAACCTGTCAAACACTTTATGCGTGCGATACGATTCCTCTAGAAATAATTTATATGGCAAAGCAACGTTTGCCGAGTCAGCTAGTTTGAAATAAAAAAAAATTATAGTCTTAATACCTGCATTTAAGATGATAAATTTAAATAAAAAAAAAATATGAACGGAAAGTTTTTCGTGCAGTTTTATGTACAACACACCTTGGGTAAATTTCATTCTGATCTTAACTAAATGATATCTTACGTTTGTTGATGACGCATTTAAAAATGGTAAAAAGCTTTATACGCGCAATTTAGGAGGGACTAAATGTGAAATGGAACGGAAAAAATATTTTGTCAGAAGTGGGATTCGAACCCACGCCCTCAGAGAGGACCAGAACGCCCGAACCCACTGCAATGGGCAAGGAAACCTTGAGTCTGGCGCCTTAGACCGCTCGGCCATCCTGACAGTTGCACGTCAACTCGAAAATACCGTCAACTTTACGTCATTTCAATCAATTTTCGCGTCATATGAATGTAATAATTCAAACACATACGTAATACAGACTTATAGGTGAACGTATAGGTGTTTAAAATAAAACTATTTCAATCAATATTCACGTCGTTATTGTTAAACGCATTGTTTTGCAATGCAAGCAGTGTTTTGGAGGAAGTTTACCTTAAATCAGGATTAATAATTTCCCTCCTAAGAAACTTCACCCAGAAGGCACTAAAAATAGTAAATGAATAATAGTTAAAAAAAACACACTTTAAGTCATTACAATCAATTTGCACAGTACAGTATAATGAAAATGTAATTGTTCAGACAATTACCGTGAAAAAAAAACGTGCATAAAAGACGCTATAAATTTTATGTCAATGAATAATTACCATATTCGGTTTTAACGTAATGCATTAAGTGACATCGGAATAGTGAAACACAATTTATAACTATATTTATAATTTATGGTTAAAAAAAAAAGAAAAAAACCACGGTTTGATGAAAAATCGAGCTAAAAAGTAAAAAATTAATTTCAATGTCAGAAAAAGGTAATTTACGAGAAAGTTAATGTTACTGCAAAAAAGGTGCTTGAACTACATCCTTGATATTAGCATTAGTGTTTATTTTTTTTATTTTTTTAACTATAATTAATTTATTACTTTTTTGTCTTCTAGTGAAGTTTCTTAGAACGGAAATTATTAATCCTGATTTGAGTTAAACTTCCTTCAAAACACTGCAAAACAATGCATTTAACAATAACGACGTGAATATTGATTGAAATCGTTTTATTTTAAACACCTATACTTTTAGCTATAAATGTGTAGTACCTGGAGGATAAAAAATGAAGAAAGCCATGATCTGCTATAGAAGTAAAAGAAAAAAAAACAAGTGTGTAAATGATCGTGGCACGAACCACGGACTTCTGTTTCGGGGCCGCCCGTTTATCGACCGATCTATTATAGCATTTTTCTTTCCGTGAAATTTACCGTCATATTCGAATGATATTTTTCATTACTTTTTTTTTTTTTTTATGCGAAAAAAGTTGTCAAACGAGCAGACGGTTCACCTGATGTTAAGTGAATACCGCCGCCCATGGACATCTGCTACACTCGAGGGTTACAGATGCGTTGACAACCTTTTGAAAATTGGGCTCCGGCTACCTCACTCACCAGACGAAACGCGAAAGTATTTGTCATACTTCCACTTTACGCCGGTCTTCTGTGAGGTCGTGGTACTTACCCGGACGGGCCTGCCCATTCGTGCAACAGCCGAGGCTGCTGCGTGGCCCTACCACCGTAAAAAAAACGTATTGTAGGCAAATATTACGTATTTGTAGGCAAAACAATTTGCTACAAATTATGTCTACGAATTTTTTGTAAGACGCATAGTTCCCGAGATATCTCGATAAAAGGGTTTTCACCACTTTTTCCGAGATGGCGGCCGGGGGACAAGGGTGGCGACTCCACAAACTTGGGGTTAAGCTTCTATTGACGCCCACATATGTCCCAAAAATAAAATTGCGTCCTCTAAAAAATGCAAAGCTCATGTAACATTTCAATGGACTATTAGTAAAATGCTGTTATTTTAATATTACAAACAGACACTCCACTTTTATTTATCTGTTTGGATTATTTCATTTCAACATGAAATGTTATAAGCGAAACGTAATACAATAACCGCCGACTACTTATCTCATAAGCTCGTTAGTCAAAAATTAGTATCTTAATATAATCCAACAAACTTACGTTGATAACTTTGTTAGATATACAGACAGATGGTTAAGGATAAAGCAGTTAAGGAGCAACAGTTGGTGTTTGTTT